GTTAAATATATATTTAAACATTTATTTAATTATATGGCGTAGAAGTCAAAATTATACTAGTGTTAGAATATTTTCGTTACCCACTGCAAATACTCTGATGTGATTTTTTTCGTGAAATATATTATAGCTTGGTGATTATTACCCACAGAAATATGTAAACAAAAAACAGAACATTGAAGTACTAAAAAATATACAAATATTATTTACGAAAAGTGGGTGCCCCATTGGATCCCTCCATCGGTGTTGATTACACATAGCTTCGGCCCTGTCGGACAGAGAGAAGCGAGCTGCGAAGGATATGGCGGCAAAACGTCGTGTACATGTTGCCGTCGAACATTTTCTCGATCTACTCGAAATTTATATCGTTCCGACACTTTTACCGGACCGTTTCTTCTTCAGAAATGTCTGCAGAATCCGTTCCTGAGTAGAGTTTTTGTGTAGGAGAAACAACTTTTCGTAAAAGTACAAAAATATTGCGCAGAAACTGCGCACGTCGACAATTTTTTAAACTTTGACATTAATTTATTGCTATTTAGGACCAAAAACAATTAATAAATTGCATGCCACTATATTTCGGAAACTCTCCTCTATCTTTTTTTCGTTTCTTTTAACACCGATTAGAACTTTCTAACGTTTTTACTTTTCATGCAATACCTCATTTTTGTCGAAATTTTTGGGTTTTTACAAAAGTTCGTTTTTTTTCGAAAACTGAGGGTGATGGAGCAATTCGGTTTTCGGATTCTCGTTCAGGGAGTGAAGCTTTACAAGAATTTCATAGTGGCTATAGGAACCCAGACAAAAAGTTCTATTTTGTCGGGCAGTATAATTGGACAAGTCCGAGACAATTAAAGCTATTCAAAAGTAAGGATATCGTAATCGGAGCCCCCCAACCCTCGGACGATCCCCGATCGATCCGATTTCCTCTTTTCCCGGCTGGTCTCCGGAGAAATCGGACCTCCCTTCCTGCTCATAGAATTCGATAAAGGGTCTCTTTATTGACCCTGCGGTATACCTAATTCATTCTTCGTTCCGAAATATCGAAGGATAGAACTCTCCGTTATAATTCCATTCTACGCTGCTTCAACCGTGCCGGGACCGTTAAATTCGATGAAATCTTCGGTCACGAGTCCGCCTCTGTCGCGGCGCAAGGGGTTAACTCGCGGAAGCGTCGACTTCCGGCGTTCTTCGACGTCGATACGTGGCCCTTGTCCACTGGTGGCACCGTAACAGGGAGCGGAATAGCGCGAAACGAAACGAAACGAAACGTATAGAGCTCGCGGAAGGAAGGAGAGAGCGGGGCGGGGGCGAGAGGGGTCGGTTCGAGAAGGCAGGGCCTTTGACTCGTTCGCGAAGGGGACCGAAGCAACCCCTTGGTCGGCTCTGCAAGGGTGCGCGCTATCGATTCCCGCCTCCGCCGCGTCGGTCTACCATCTACCTGTGCTATCGTCGAGTCGACGCACGGCGCTCGATTTTCCCAAAAACTGGCGCGACGATCGATCGCGCCCGAAACCTTGCTTCGCCGGCGGATAGTCGAATCCCTGAATCGTTCGTCGATTATTCCGATGTGTAACGGTTAGATTTTCCATTTCCTAGACATTTTCTAGTTGAAATTGTCTCGCTTGTAATCGGAACTGGAATAATTGCAACGAATCAAGTTAAAATCGACGAAGCCATTTTTGTCGAATTTTGCCGATTCTCGATGGTTACGGTTCGTCGGGGCGACGGAGTTCGCGGCTCGCCGTGCGCCGTTTTCCTCGACGCGCGCGGTCGGCGGCTCGCCGCTCGTCGCCCGCCGCGCGTCTCGACGAGCCGCGACAAGATCGAGCCGTCTCTCCTTTTCCTTATCCTCCGTGATAACCGATAACGATCGCCGCTCGAGTGGCTGCTCCTCCGCGGGGATAAGGATCTCCGGCGCCCTCCGATATCCAGCACGCCCGGCATTTGATAGGGACTCGACGTCGAATCCCGTGACAACGGGGAATCGCGATAACCGACGATCCATCGGCCCGTAGAAATCGCTGCTCGAAACCTAACGATCGACGCGAGTCTCGAGTGATTTATGCGATGGCTCGGCTTCGATGGAGTCGCTGGTCCGGAGAATGGAATTTTTGGTCTTCGACGCGTTGATTTCGAGCGGAGAACGCGTCTCGTTCCCGAGAAATTTGGAAATTTCTCTTGGACACAGCAAAAACGGCCGGGCGTGTCTCTTGGAGCTCGCTGCAACTTGCTGTTACCGTTTCAACGCCGATCGTTCGTTTCTTCGATTTGTAATGAAAGTCTTTCGAGTCCCCGAATGCAGCCGGGAAATCGCGTTTAACCGAGCCACGAGATTCCTCCATCGATCTCGGCTGTTTAGGGTCGTAACTGGACGTCGCCGAACAATCCCGCTTCGTTCCCCGCGGCAGGTTGCTTCGCCGCTTCCCGCGAGGATGTTATCTTTCACGGTGCATCGTGGCCCCGACGAGATTAATAACGCGAGATCGCGCCGCCTCGCGGTTCGAGTCGCTCGAGAAAATAGGGCCAATAAAAGGAGCGAGAGAGGAAAACCGGAGAGCGGGAGAAGCGGGGAGAAAGAGGGACAGAGGGAGCTGCCCCGCGGCAGACAAATACAAGACAATGAAGATTAATGTTTCGGCCCGGTTCCATGGCCGTCCCGGGTACCCGACAGCACCGTGCGAACCGAGTTTTCGGTGCTATGCACCGACGCTTGTCCGTGTTCCCGTGGTTTCGTCGGGGATCCCCGCGTTTAAACCGTTTCACCGACGTTGTCACCGCGTTGTCTATAAACAATTTTCCTCGCTTCACGATTCGTTCGTGTTCTCTCGACGGTGGAAATTACCGAGCGTGTAGATTAAGCAACGAACGGCGGAGGACGTCGCGACGTCGTTGACGAGGGACATTTGTTGATTGCAGATCAGCAGTCGGCGTGACATGGATGTGAGCTTCACGAACGTATTAGAGGGGGCTCGCCAGTTCTTCCAGGGACTGCCCGTACCGAGTACAGGTGGTGCGGCCGCGTCAGCGGATCGCAATCACGCGACATCAACGAGTACAGCCTCGTCGACATCGGCGTCGCGCGACCATGGCGCCGCTTCTCCGTCGCCAGCAGCCCCGCCAGCCCCGCCAGCACCACCGCCACTATCGATATCGTCGCAACCGACTTCGAGCAACAGCAGCAACAGCAACGGTAGCAGCAACGGCGGTAACAACAAGAGCAGCGGTAGCAGCAACGACTCGGAAGCGAGTCGTTACCCGAGCAACGACGCGCGATCCTCGTCCGCGGAGAACGCGTCCAGCACCAACAGTTTCTGGAGTCCCTCCGTGGAGCCGTACGCTCCGCAGCCGACGAGGGTGGAGGTGCCGGACACGAGGCCGGGCCTCGACGACGGGTCCTCGATGGAGGCAAGCTCGTCGTGCTCGAACACGATCACGTTAACCGAGATGCAGCCGTCGAGCAATCGCGTTAACCGATCCTCCTCGAGCTTCCCCGCGAAGCAAGGGTCGCCGAAGGACCAGCCGACGGCGACGTCGACGACAATGGCGGCGACGGCGGCGGCGGCGACGAGCGATCTGCACCAAATGCAACCGGTCCAACAGCCGACGTCCCCGGGCCCGGTGTACCAGCAGCTGAGCACCGTCTCCAGAGCGTCCTTCTCCACCGCCGAAATACTCGCCTCGTCGCACCAGACGAGCTACCAGACTGCCAGCGACCGGCAGCCGCAGCCGACCGCTTCCGTCGTGGCGCAGAGGACCCAGTACTATCCCCGCTACCATCATCCGGACATCACGAAGAGCGCGCCGGTCCCGTTCAGCCAGAACTCGATCTACCAGTCGGCCAGCGTGGCGCCGGCGACCTCTTCGGGGACCGTGCAGACCAGGCCGACCCCGATGGAGCAGCCTCACCTGACCGTTTCCGGGCAAGGGCACGGCCTGGAGCAGAGGGTGCCGAGCTCGTACGGCAACCCGGCGGCGCCTACGAGCGCGGCCTCGATATACGGGTCGCCGTCGACCCAGAACTATCGTCCGTTGCAGCAGAGTCGATCGGGCTCGGCGGGCAACCCGGCGGCGGACAGGCCGCACTCGTCCCGCGTCTCCTCGTCTCCGTCCTGCTCGTCGGTGAACCCGTGCAGCCCGCGGCACGCCGGGACCTTGAGTCACATTCCTTCGCCGTCGTCGGCGTCATCGTCGCAAAATCTTCCGGCGCACATTCCATCGTCGCATCTGCCGTCGCCGGGCAGCAACGCGGCGGCGCACCGTTCTCAGCAGCAACAACCGCAGCAACACCAACAGCAGCATCAGCATCACCAGCATCAGCACCAGCAGCAGCAGCACCAGCATCAGCACCACCAGCATCAGCATCAGCAACAGCAGCAGCAGCAGCTTTCTAGTCGAATAAACGCGTCCTCGCATTCGATCGGCGCCAACGCATACCGGATGGTCGTTCACGGGACACCGGCGTCCTCCGCCCCCTCGTCCTCGTCCTCGTCCTCCTCCTCCTCCGCCTCCTCCTCGTCCTCCTCCTCTAATCAGATGCCACCGCCGCCAGCGTTGAGCGGTTATCATCCTGTTGCTTCTCCCCATGACGCTCCTCATCACGCCGCCCCGACACCGCACAGACAATCTCCTCACGTGTCCACCCTGCACAATCCTCACGCCTCTCCTCATCACGCTCCGTCTCCCCACAGCAGCTTCCAGCCCCATTCGCCGACGTATCCGCCTCCGCCGCCGCCACCGCCACCACCCCCGGCCACGTCCACTCCTCACTCGTACAGCCTTCCAATTACGTCGCAACACTACCAACCGAGCCCCGGTTACGCCGGCAACCTGTACGCGCTGCCGCCACAGTCTTCGTATCATTCCTTCCAGAAGAATCCCCAGCCGCCGCCGTCGCAGCCGCAGCCGCAACCGCAGCCGCAACCGCAGCCGCCGCACTCGCAGGCCAACTACTACCCGCAGTCCGGTCGATCCCAAGGACAAACGTACGCGGCGCAGCAGATGCCGATACCCGGCCCGGCTCAATCGATCTGCTCCGGGACCGGAAACGCGAACGGGCCCGGCTACCATTCGAACAAACCGGTCGCGTACAACGGCGTCGATTCGAAGAGGAGCTCGATGGAGGTGTCCTACGGCTCCTATCGATCCCCGTTGACCTCCTCCGTTCAGAGGACCAACACGCACAACCTTCCGCCGATCGCCGCGCTCTCCTCCTACCATTCCAACCGAAGGGAGCAAGCGACCAGCAAGGCCCAGCCGATGCAAAGACACCGCGGATACCAGGCGAACGCGGCCAACAACAACAAGGTGTCGGTGGTCGCGCCGCCCGTGTCCTCGATGACGGCGCCACAGAGGATCGCCGAGTATCCGACCACCGTGTCCGGTATGAATCACGCGATCCCGGTCAACGGACGGACCACCACCGTCGCCAACACCTCGTACAGCAGGTACTCGAGCCAGCAGCACGGCTACCCGACCTACGCCACCACCACGGCGCCCAGTCATCAGGGCAGCAACTCCTCCAGCACCACGGTCACCTCGATCGGGATCGCCGCGAGATCTTCCGTTCCGCCGACGAGCGCGATGCACTATCAGCCGACGGACGCCAGTCGAACGGGCTCCTATCATCATCAGCCGGTCCGGGCCACCGACGACTACGGCTACAAAGAGTACTCGTCCTATCAGAACTCGGCCGCGTCCACGGCTCAGTCCACCGTAGCCTCGAACATGGTCGCTCCGCCGCAGACGAACGGCGTTCGCAAGAGGGAGTCGCCGCTGGACCTGTCCGTGAAGACCGTGAAGACATCCGCGGACTCGACCGCGCAGGACGACGTCGAGACCGTCGCGGAGAAGCACGTGAGCAGCTCGACGGTGATCTCGTCGAGGAACAACGTCGGGTCGTCCAGGAGCATGCTGCCGCCGGCCGTGCAGACCGCGCCGCAGCCAGCCTCGTATCCCCCGTTCGACAATCGACTGTCGAGCAACACCGGCAGGAGCATGCAGCAAACCGGCCAGATCCGAGTCTCCACGCCGCAAACGGTCTGCGCGCCCAAGGTAGACTTCCTGCCGGACTTCAACTCGGCGCCGCTGCGTCACCACCACCACGGGCAACCGCACGAGAATACTTTTCACCGGAGGAGCTCGGCCCAACAGCTGTACGCTCCGCCCCCGCAGTCTCTCTCCTCGCAGCATCCTAATAATACCGCTCCACTGCCCCACATGTCCTCGTTCAAAAAGTCTTCACTGCCCACCACCGCGCAGGTGTACGATGCCGTGACCGCGGCAGCGCCGCCACCGCCGGTACCGTCCTCCTCTTACCTGGCGGCCACCGAGTCCGTGTCCGTGTCCTCCAGGTCCTCCAGGTATCCCCCGCCGCCGATGGTCGACCCGGCCAGGATGGGACACGCCGCCGGCTTACCCGTCCACGATTACCCGGCCGAGTCCAAGTACTACAAGTTCGGGCAACTGGCTCCGCCCCAGAGGGATCGCGCGCCGACCAAGAGGCCCGGGGACGCGATCTACGGTGCCGCGGTGCCGCACAAGCAACCCAGGCTCGACGACTGGTTTCACAAGAGGCTGTCCACCGCGAAAGCGATGCACGAACAGCAGAAACGGCAGGAGATGAGCCTGCAGGTGCCTCTGCCGAACGGTGCCCTGGTCGCGACCAACACCTACGAACAGAGATCCGACAACGGTTACTCGTCGTCCGAGTCCTCTCGCTACCAGCAAGCCTACTGTGATAAGAGGAGCTACGCCGAGCCTAAGGTCACCCACGGTTCGCCTCCCTACGGTCATCCGCCCGTGGCCAAGCCGGCCAACGTGCACTCTCTGCCGCAACAGCCGAACCAACCCGTCTACTCGAGCTACCGGCAGGCCCAGAAACCGGGCCCACCGCTGCCCGGAGCAACCTCCGCCGGACAGCCCGTCGAACCGCCCAGCAACACCGGAGCCGACAAGCGTGTCCTCAGCTTGCTGAGGAACAGCTTGGAGAACAAGCAGCAGAGGGAGGAGCAGATGAACAGTCAGCAGCCCATCTTGGCCAATCACAGTCAACAGATTTTCCAAAACAAGGTACGGTTCTTTCGATTCTCTGCCGACGAAGGCACGCGTTTGAGAGACCCTGTTCGAGAGACAGTCGAGCCAACGGTTTCGGTTTGGTCTATTCCCTCAGGTGGTCGCGCCGGTCGAGCCGAAAACAAACATCGGACGACACAATCTGTCACCGTTCACGGCGGCGAGCCTGCTGGAACGGAACAGCAACACGCCGCCCCATTACAAGTTCCATGTGCCGAGAGCCGTAGACTCGATCACTCAGGAGGCGCCCCGCAGCTTATACGCTTCCAGAGTAAATTCATCCGCGACGCTGCCTGGCAAGGAAGCACTCCTGGGACCTCGGGGAGCCGAGAATCAGATCCACCGTGACAAAGACGACGGGCTTGCCGCCATATTAGCCGCGAAGATCAGGACCAAAGCGGAACTTAAACAGGTGAATGACGCGTTCCCTAGCTCGAGAGACACCCCGGCTCCTTCCTTCGCCGACTGACAACCCGCTCTCGTCTGTTCCAGGTGGGAACCGGCCAATTCGCGAGCAAGTCGACCGCTTCCTCTCAGGAAGCCTCGTCGACGCCCAAAGGTAATCTTCGCTTTCTTTGTTTCATCTAGATCGAATAATCCGATCTTGAAAAATGAGAAACGTCGTTCTCGCAGAAATATTGGACAGCTCGGCTTCGACGTCCGGCCCGGTGTCGTCGGCGGGCAGTCCGCCGAAGTTGACGCGCGAGAAAGTGGCCTGTCTGCCGCCACGGAGACGATTGTTCTCGAGGACCGAGGAGGAGAACATGCCGGTGGCAGCGACGGTGCCCGTGCAAGCTCCGGTGCCCGCGATCGCGTCCACGGTTCCAGCGCGTGCCAGCGGTTTCAGAAGTTCCTCGGAGACGTCGGTGTTCGATTTTAGGGAGAGCGACTCCGAGGGCGAGATGCCGGTGCTCGAGCGGCAAACGCTGGAGGAGATGAGGCGGGACAGGAAACAGCTGTCGAAGGTGCAACCACCGGTGCCTCTGAACGACGCCATGTGCATGGGTATGACGTCCTCGTCGGACCTGGTGAAGATCGAGCTGAGGGTGAGTGAAATTTTCTAACGTCCAACGAGACGCGTCTGTAACGACTACAATGTCCCGAAAAACGTGTCGCTCGCAGGAGAACGAAAAGATCACGGAGGTGGACAGCTTCTGGTCGAGCGCCTGCGACAAGTTCATGGAGCAGCTGCGCACCGGCGACGCCATGAAGAAACGCGGCCGCAAGAAGAAGACCAGCTGCACGGTGACCTCGAACCTCGACGAGACGGGCAACGACACCGGCAACGAGAACGACGACAAGGACGAGAAAGAGGCCGCCGACGCGAACGCGTCCACGCGGATCAAGCCCGAGGACATCAAGCAGGAGCTGCAGGACGTCGAGTCGCCGCCGGACGTCAAGGAAGAGTTCCCGGAGACGAGCAAGGACGACGAGACCGCCGCGGAGCCGAAGGAGATCAAGGTGGAGGTGAAAGAGGAGCCGGAAGTTGAGAAAGAGTACGACGATAAGAACTCGAGCGACGATTCCGACGAGGTGCCGCTGATCCGGAGGGCGAACAAGAAGATGAAGAAGGAGGACAGCGACTGCGAGGAAGAGATAATATGCAGGAAGGGCCGGGTCGGCCGGGGCAGCAGGATCAAGCTGCAGTCGTCCAGCGGCAGCGAGTCTTCCAGCGAGGAGAGCGACGCCAGCACGGAGTTTGGCCACGGTTCCTCGGTGGCGGACAGGCTGCGGGCCAGGAAGCGGTCGTCCAACAACGCGGAGTCCGAGGGGATGAAGCTGAGGTCGAGGGACACGACGCCGCACAAGGCCAAAGGAGAGAAGGAGTCGAAATCGTCGACCTCGAAGACCGGCTCCGGGTCGCAGAAGGGCAAGCCGAAGCCGCTTTTCGGGGACGGCAGCGACTTTCGGCCGGGTTGGGAGGAGGAGGTCTACGTGTACAAAAAGTCCTTGAGAATGCCGACCAGGTTGATCACGGTGTCGAAGCCGTCGAGGTTTCACAGGTTATCCACCTCGCTGCCGGATCTGGACCCGGACTCGCCGGCGCTCTCCGTCTCGATGGACAGCTCCGACGTGTGTCTCGGCCGGAAGAAGATCGTGGACAGCGACATGGAGTCGAACTGCAGCTTCGGCACGACGGGACTTAAGATCGACGACGAGGAGGCCACCTCGTCCACGACGATCTCGTGTCCCGCCAAGGCCACGAAGTCGAGCAGATCGGAAGGCAGCTCGATCGTCGACGTGCTGGCTCAGAAGGTCGGCACCAGCCGGAAGGAGCAGAAGAAGAAGCTGAAGGAGAAGGATAAGGTGGAGAAGGAGAAAGTGGAGAAGGGTGGAGGGGGCAAGTCGAAAGGTAGCAACGAGCCGGAGCTGCTGCCTACGCCGAGCCTGACGCCGTTGCTGGAGTCGGCGAAGCTGTCGAAGGGCAAGTCCCCGATCAAAGACTGCAGCGTGTTGGGCTACTTCCGCAAGGAAACGGTGAGCACGTTCCGGGACACGTTCAAGAACAATCACGCGCTGCTGAACGAGTTCTCGACGCTGGTGTTGAAGACCAGGACGAGGACGGAGACGCGGGTGTTGAAGAAGCAGGCGACCATCAGGGAAGTGTTCGGCGAAGAGAGACCCGCGTCGGCCCCGCCGATGCAGAATCACGACGACACCTCGCAGGACGACGACTCGCAGACGGAGACGCCGGAGAACGCGCTGAGCAAGATCAGGACGCTGAAGCAGAAGGTGGTCTGGGTGCGGAAGAACGCCGGGATCCTGAGGAGTCACAAGGCGATCCTGAACTCGAAGCGGCATCTGTTGAACGCGAAGAAACGAAAGGACCTGCTCAAGTCGCTGGCGGAGAAGAAGCTGCAGAGCCTGAAGACGGAAGCGGAGGACGAGGCGGCGCAGGAGGAGACGAACGACGCGCAAGAAGCGGAGAACAACGACTTGGACGACGAGACGAACGAGTCGGAAGTTCCCAACAAGAAGAAGCTCAAGCTGCGGACCAGCCGGCGAAAGTTCCGCTCCGGGTTCGACTACATTCGGAAGAAGAAGAAGCCGTTGAAGAAGGACGAGACCCTGCCCAAGGAGAGAAAGAGGGTACGTAGATACACCGTACATGTCTCGTGCTCGCGTCCGATCGAATCGTTTGCATTTGCAGCAAGTGTTGACGAGGCCCAGCCCGGAGTGCGTCGCGGACATCCAATCGGAGATCAGAACCTGGGTGATCAAGAAAGGCGTCGGCGAAACGCTGTTGCACAGGGCTGCCAGGCTCGGTTACACGGTAAGGCATTTCGTTTCGCGATCTCTTCCGCTCGTTGACCGAAGTATGCCAATTGTATCGGCCCCGCGTTTGCAGGACGTCACAGCCTACTGCTTGGAGAAGCTGAACAACGCGCCGAGCCCCAAGGACAACGCGGGGTACACGCCTCTTCACGAAGCGTGTTCCAAGGGCCATCTCGAGATCGCGAAACTGCTGCTCGCGTACGGAGCGAACGCCAGCGAAAGCGCGAACGGAGGAATAAGGTAATTCGTCGGCGACGAGACGTTTTCAAATTGTTCGAGGTATCGATTGTCCGATGGTTGCAGGCCGCTTCACGAGGCGGCAGAGAACGGCGCTACCGAATTGGTACGTCTGTTGCTCTCGTACGGCGCCGACCCTCTGCTGGCCACGTACGCTGGTCAGACTCCGCTGATGCTGGCCGCGGACACGGACGCTTACTCGATTCTGGAGCAACATCTGGACGACATTCAGGGTCGGACGTGCACGCCGTGGTCCTTCGGCGGACCGTCGTGCATTTTCGGTAATTTCCAGCAATCCCCAGTAATTTCCAACAAATTTCCAAGCAAGGGTTTTCTCAAAGATCGAACGATATTCCAGACCCCGACGAGACCGGGCACAACCCCCTCAACGATCCTCCGCTGGACAGCCCGGAGCCCGAGCTGGACGAGATCGAGATGGAAATGAGCGACGTGAACCTGCCGGTTCTGTTCTCCTTGAGCAACGACCCGGACAAGTGGGTGCTCCTGCAGGACCTGATGGCGGCCCTCAGGATAAAGAGCAGGGACGCGCTGCTGCGTCAGGTGAACCCGAAGGCTCACGCGGGCCCGCCGGCGGTCGCCCATCGGGACGTGATGAGGGAGCTGAAGCTCCAAGACTTTCTGGAACAGTCGAGGTGCTGCCACTTGCTCAGCGGCGGCGAGAGGATCAACGTGAGAGGCTCGAAGGTGACGCTGATCAAGTACAACGACAAAGTGAGGTCCCTGTTGAGCGTCGAGAAGGTGGTGATCAGCCTCAGGTGACAGGAGGCGATTCTGGGGCAGCCGTCTCCCCAGGCAAGACCCTCGACGTCCGCCGCGAAGGACGTCCCGAAGAAGACGAGAACCTCCGGCAGCTCCCCGAAGAGGCAAGGTAGAACGCGTCAAGGTAACAAAACGTCCGATTGAACGCGCGCGTGGACGCGCGCGGGGCCGAACGGGTCGGAACGGATCGAATCGGATCGATCGTGACAGCGAACGGTGACGCACTATTATTAGCAGTATTTATTGGAGAATATTCTATTCGTGTCTATTCGCAAGAACAGTGATATTTTATTAACTATAGAGCCAAGCGATCGGGTCTGTAATTGTAAACGCCGCTTCTAGAGTCGAGGATTTCGCTGTCGCCGCAGAGATTTAGAAGCACGATATATCGTTCCTGTCCGAACATTGTACGATACTATTGGATATTTCAGCGTTTAATCTCGAGTTAACAGTCCCTCGCGGAGGAGTTTATAGGGGCCGGTCGCGAATAGAAAGAACGGACGACGTCGTCTAGAGATATTTTTTATCGTCGGCACGTGCGCGCGCGTGTCATTTGCTCTGTGCACATGTCCACGTGCTTCTTTTTACCGAGAGGATGGATTCGTTGTTAGGAGGAGGAAGGCGACCGTCGGAGCGCAAACGTCGACTTGTCATCGGCTTTCACGTGTTACCAATTTTCGTTAGGTTTACTCTCGTTTCTTCCTCGTCGCGTTTTCTGTCCGTTTTTCTACCGGTCAGTCGGGAGAGCGAGTTGATCGGCGAGCAAATCCGGTTATCGATCGAATCTTTTTAGGATTAAGTAAGCGTCGATTAATCGTTCGAAAGTCGAGCATTTATTTACCTGTTTTCGCGTTCCGCTCTTTCTCCTTATAGTTCTCTTTTATTTTTTCCTTTTTTCTTTTCTTTTTTTAATCTTTCTGGGATGTGCAATCTTGTCGAGCGATCCTACGAACGACGGTCGATCCCGGGCTGGACGGGGAACCAAGTGGAAAAGGAGGGAAACCATCGTGCAATAACTCTCTCGTCCAGCTCGCGATCGACTCTCGAATCGGCGGTTTCCATCGATAATCGTTGGGCGCGGTTGCAACGCGTTCACCAGCCGTTGCACGAGTTTGCTGTAATCGGCACCGCGCCGCGTCGTTGTTCGATGGCACGTTTTCTCTCCTTCGTTCGAACGTTTCTCAACAGGTTAGCTAGTTATTTCGTTATCTAGTACAATTTTGATCGACGCGCGGACCAACGAGATCGAGGCATCGTTTCGTTTTGGGAACAGCGGCGATCGCGTCGATCGAGGCGCAGCGTCGGGCAGCGAACGCGTCCATGGGACCCCGTCGGCGGGAACAGCGATTTAGGAAATTTTCGGAAACACGGTGTTCCCGCTTCGGTGGGCCTCCGGCGACGCGACGGGACGAGTTTTAACGAGATCAACGTACTTAGACGGTCGCGTCTCGACGGAACGGCGATAAGAAGCAGGCTTGCGCGTTTCATTTCACTCTTTATACAGATTTCAATTGTTACAATCAGTCTCAGGGAACGTTCTCTACGCGTATTTTCGATATTTCTGTGCGTTGTATAAATTGGACGGGGACGCGGCCAGGCGGCGTCGGATCGACGAGACGAGAAACGACGTTCGTCCTTGAATTGTTGGTCGCGCGACGGATTCGGACCTTTGGCCGACGAACCCTTCGGCCTCGGCTCGCGCGTACAATTTGCGGAGGAAATTGATCGCGATTCCAGAAGCGCGACGCCTGGCCGCTCGCCTGGACGGTTTCGACTTTTATTTAGCCAACGATTCGAAGGGATCTTTGACGTGGACGGTGTGCAGTTTGTACATGTACATAATACACCTATTTTCGAAGGAAACGATTTCCACGGCCAAATACACCGGTTCTCGTTGCGGCGGCTGCCGTGCAATTTTCTCGCGCGAGAATCGTCCGGTTCGGCGTCGTCGGTTTTATGTAAAATCGATCGACGATCGGCCGATGGAATTCGATGGGGAAAAACGAACTTGTACGTACCGTGCGTAATTGTACCTTTCTCGAATGTAAAGTAGAATGCATATACGATGTAAGTAGCGGAAAGAACGCACTGCAAACACTTGTTCATATTAGCGTATTAAGAACACGTGCACACACACACATTGTAATATGGCGTACGGAAGAGAAACCGCGTTTAGAAGGACTTGAAGGACATTGTAATTTCAGTGAACCGATTGAACAATAGATACGCGGAAACGACGAGTATGTACATACTTCTCGCAAACTAGGGGCTATCGCAATTATTACCGCTAATGATTATTATTATTATTATTATTGTTATTATTATGTTATTATTATATTATTATTATATATATAATTATTATTATTATTATATTATTATTACTATTACGTTTATTATTATTATTATTATTATTATTACTATTTAACACTACCGTCACAATAACTACGCGTACTACAAACTACCGCTGATGACTATTACTATCGCCACCAACAACTATTGCCACTACTGTCACCGAGTATCCGCTTTTTTTATTGTACGATATATACATAATAGCGAACTATGAATGTACATTTTCTTAGCTGTAACAACGTCTCCTCCATCACCGACACTACAACCGCCACCACGATTTCCCTGCTATTCCCCTCCCTCCTCCGATATGCCCTCTTGTAATTTATATATACATATTCGAGATACTTCTAAATGTGTTAAACTGCTGCTGCTTTACGAGAAAGAAAGAAGAATTATATGTGAGAAAAAGAACAAATATATATTATAATATAATATAATATAATATATATTATAATATATTATATATATTATATATATTATATATATGTATAAATATATATGTATGTACACGTACATATATATATTTTATTTCAGAAGTTTAGTTTAATCGATATATAATGTTAAAACGCGAGGAAGATAACAAATTGAATTTTCTCTCTCTCTCTCCCTCTCTCTCTCTCTCTCTCTCTCTCTCTTTCTCTCTCTCTCTATCTCTCTCTCTCTCTCTCTCTCTCTCTCTCTCTCTGTGATTCGTCTGAAAGAAAATGGAACTAAGGAAAGATGATAGATAAAAAAAAAGAAGAAATCAATTGAAGAGTTACGATTATTAATTGATTAATTAAATAATTAAGTATTATTATTGTCATCGTCTCATTATCATTGCTCTATACCGTCAGGTTATACCGAACAAGCCAGAATGGGCCGACAAACACAGTTTTCGTAACGAACTCGACTCGTGATCTTTTTCTTTTCGCTAATAACAGTAACGAGTTATCCTATCGATGTAATAAAAACAAGTATTTTTACCGATATGCCCGTCTTTTATTTTACGTACCTTTACGATCCATCGCTTCGTTTTGCAACTCCAAACATCGTTTAAATCTTTACTACAATGATAGGTTAAATCTTACAAGCGCCGACGTTCGGAAATCGAACACTAACGCGGTATAGAAGCAAAAACGTCTAACCGAAATAACTNCGCGTCTCGACGGAACGGCGATAAGAAGCAGGCTTGCGCGTTTCATTTCACTCTTTATACAGATTTCAATTGTTACAATCAGTCTCAGGGAACGTTCTCTACGCGTATTTTCGATATTTCTGTGCGTTGTATAAATTGGACGGGGACGCGGCCAGGCGGCGTCGGATCGACGAGACGAGAAACGACGTTCGTCCTTGAATTGTTGGTCGCGCGACGGATTCGGACCTTTGGCCGACGAACCCTTCGGCCTCGGCTCGCGCGTACAATTTGCGGAGGAAATTGATCGCGATTCCAGAAGCGCGACGCCTGGCCGCTCGCCTGGACGGTTTCGACTTTTATTTAGCCAACGATTCGAAGGGATCTTTGACGTGGACGGTGTGCAGTTTGTACATGTACATAATACACCTATTTTCGAAGGAAACGATTTCCACGGCCAAATACACCGGTTCTCGTTGCGGCGGCTGCCGTGCAATTTTCTCGCGCGAGAATCGTCCGGTTCGGCGTCGTCGGTTTTATGTAAAATCGATCGACGATCGGCCGATGGAATTCGATGGGGAAAAACGAACTTGTACGTACCGTGCGTAATTGTACCTTTCTCGAATGTAAAGTAGAATGCATATACGATGTAAGTAGCGGAAAGAACGCACTGCAAACACTTGTTCATATTAGCGTATTAAGAACACGTGCACACACACACATTGTAATATGGCGTACGGAAGAGAAACCGCGTTTAGAAGGACTTGAAGGACATTGTAATTTCAGTGAACCGATTGAACAATAGATACGCGGAAACGACGAGTATGTACATACTTCTCGCAAACTAGGGGCTATCGCAATTATTACCGCTAATGATTATTATTATTATTATTATTGTTATTATTATGTTATTATTATATTATTATTATATATATAATTATTATTATTATTATATTATTATTACTATTACGTTTATTATTATTATTATTATTATTATTACTATTTAACACTACCGTCACAATAACTACGCGTACTACAAACTACCGCTGATGACTATTACTATCGCCACCAACAACTATTGCCACTACTGTCACCGAGTATCCGCTTTTTTTATTGTACGATATATACATAATAGCGAACTATGAATGTACTTTTTCTTAGCTGTAACAACGTCTCCTCCATCACCGACACTACAACCGCCACCACGATTTCCGCTATTCCCCNTATTCCCCTCCCTCCTCCGATATGCCCTCTTGTAATTTATATATACATATTCGAGATACTTCTAAATGTGTTAAACTGCTGCTGCTTTACGAGAAAGAAAGAAGAATTATATGTGAGAAAAAGAACAAATATATATTATAATATAATATAATATAATATATATTATAATATATTATATATATTATATATATTATATATATGTATAAATATATATGTATGTACACGTACATATATATATTTTATTTCAGAAGTTTAGTTTAATCGATATATAATGTTAAAACGCGAGGAAGATAACAAATTGAATTTTCTCTCTCTCTCTCCCTCTCTCTCTCTCTCTCTCTCTCTCTCTTTCTCTCTCTCTCTCTCTCTCTCTCTCTCTCTCTCTCTCTCTCTCTCTCTGTGATTCGTCTGAAAGAAAATGGAACTAAGGAAAGATGATAGATAAAAAAAAAGAAGAAATCAATTGAAGAGTTACGATTATTAATTGATTAATTAAATAATTAAGTATTATTATTGTCATCGTCTCATTATCATTGCTCTATACCGTCAGGTTATACCGAACAAGCCAGAATGGGCCGACAAACACAGTTTTCGTAACGAACTCGACTCGTGATCTTTTTCTTTTCGCTAATAACAGTAACGAGTTATCCTATCGATGTAATAAAAACAAGTATTTTTACCGATATGCCCGTCTTTTATTTTACGTACCTTTACGATCCATCGCTTCGTTTTGCAACTCCAAACATCGTTTAAATCTTTACTACAATGATAGGTTAAATCTTACAAGCGCCGACGTTCGGAAATCGAACACTAACGCGGTATAGAAGCAAAAACGTCTAACCGAAATAACTCTGGAAGTTAGCTGTGTTAGCGAGAAGCGACTATAGCGCGTGTTTCCACAATTTAACGCTAGGCGGCAGCACCAGTTGGACTCTGGAATTTCTACAGAAAACGAGACGCAAGAGATAATTTATTTAATTGTTGTCATTATTAACGCCTGAGAGTGCAATATTATATTGTATAATCATATTCGATCAAGGTTGTTTTATTTTATAACGATAAATGACAAGTTACCGACGAAACGAGACGTAAACGGGGTGATTTACGCTAAACCATCGTAAATCAGCATCTTGTTCGATGTTTATTGGAATTGTTCGAAAGAGGCAGGCGCTATGTAGTTCGCGAATGTCAGACTTTCGTCCAGAAGAGTCATCCGATGGAATAAAACTAAACGCAGAAATTAGAAAAAAAGGTTTATCATCGTAGGATCGTATCGGGTGAGTTACTCGTACAATAATAACCAAACGATTCGATGTAAATTGTAATTAAATGCTCTCATCCGAGAGCAAAGGTATAACGCAACTCGACAGCGTTAAATAACCTAGTCTATCGCAACTTATTTCAACTTGTTGATCACGTTATCGTCGGTCCATAAAATCGGTATCTAGATTGTCGACGAAGCTATAGCCGGTTCAATGCTCTCGTTGAAAGTTCGAATCGTCTCTTTAACCCTAGAATACCGAGATCGTTTTAAATAATAATAATTAATAATTATAATTAATAATAATTATTAATAATAATAGACAATAATATAATAATAGAATCGCTGACGAGTCGAATTCTTAAAATATCTACAAAATCCAAGTGCCATGAAATTTGATGTCGCAAATTATCGATTTCAAGAACACGATTCTCTTTCGTTCGCGCTGAATTTACCAAACGGTGAACTTATTCGGCCGTTTCTAGACTGGAATCTCGATAATCTCGACAACTTTAAGATAAGAAACGCGAATCGCTTCGACCGGCTAGGTTAGGTCGGGTGCGAAACAAATCGATTCGATCCGAGATCGAACCTCGTCGATTTCTCAAGCCCGGGATCGGTCCACAAACTCCCGTACCCGAAATAATTGGAATCGGTTTCGGGGCTAAACCAAGTAATCCTTTTACTTCCCTTCAATTTCCCTTTGCGAAGAGCAGGCAGCGCGGAACAGCCGATCGTTTCATTGCGGCTAATTGATTCGAACGTTAACAAGCTTCGGTGGCCGGCCGACGTAGCCGGGACACGGTGTTAAAACTCCGTGAAAGTTCCAAGCCCGTAGACCGCAGCACGTTCATTCCGTTCGGTTAAATCCCGGTAAGAAGGCGGTCCGTCCTCGGGGGATCGGGGGATCGGTGGTTCGGAGGTAGCCGGAGTAACACAACGGTCCGAACGGAATCGAACCCGTTAGTTAATCCGGTGGCCGTTTTACTTCCTAATTGGCCGAATCGGCCGGAAAAGTTTGAGCGAGATCCGTGAGAGAACCGTGAGAGAGCCGCGAGGGTCGCGCAGCCGCGAGAAGGGTTGCACGCTGCGCCACTGCCGCGCCGACCTCGGGTTAGGCTGGCTCGAGGTTCGCGTCGTTTCCCAACCCTCTCCTCATGCTCAGTGCACCCCAAGCTATCACCGCGGTCGGAAGGTTTCGCTCGACGCAGAGATCGTCCAGGATTGCACGCGCAACGACACACGCGCTCTCGGCGAACCCGAACCCGACCTCGATCGTTTCCATCGGTCGCCGAGCGAGTCGATCTCGCGCGATGATCCCCGAGATCGGCGGTCGACGCAGCAACCGAGACGCGACGCGAGACGCGAAACTCTCCGCGTAGCTGGCACACGTCCCGGTGCGTCGAACGATCCGTTCGGAAGGACTTTGAACGGAGAAGCCGAGCCGTGGATCGTCGACGGCTGGCAACACCTGGAGATCGCGATCACCGATGCGAGCATGTGCAAGGGGGTACGGTGTCATTGAACACGAGTGGACAGTGCCGATTCTGGGTCGTTCCAGCCGAGACCGTACCTGCGAACAGCCAGCCTATCCAGTCGCGCAAGGGTGAGTGGAAAACGATTCGCGTTTGCCGGACGTTTACCTTCGGGAAGCCGGCTCGGCGATCGAGTCGCGTGGAAACCTTGTTCCGGTCGGTGTTTACGTCGTCGTTCTCCTCGGAACGATACGGTAGCAATCGCGAATCAGGCTTCCCGGATCCAATTTCCGACGGAACGTCGAGAAACGCGACCGGTCGACGACTACGCGGACCGGCGACGCCGTCCGATCGGGGTTTCCATCGAAAGGTTCGCCGGTTCGCGGTCGGTGCTGTTAGCGCGAACGAGGCCACGGCGAAAGCGTGGGCGGCCAGAGAGGAGGAGGGTGGGTGGCCAGGGGGGCGAGGGGTGGCGCGATGCCGCGATCCAGGCTGAATCGAAGAATCCTGACAGCACGCGCCGGATGAATACGCGGGGACAGAGCCGCATACCCTAAGTTCAGGGTGCGAGTGACATCTACGCGAAAACCCGTGGGCGACGCGCGCAGGCGCCTCCACCTGTAGATACTCTGCGCGGGGCTAAACGCTGGATTTATCCGTCGGTGGAGCGGAGCGCGACCGGAGTATCCGGATCAATAGAATTACCGTTTCTTCGTTTGCAGCCGCGTCTTTTTTCCCGACCCGTGCCTTTCCGCGCCCGCGGCGGAGCTTCCCTTTCACGGGCTCGACGCGAAAGAGCCGCGTACGCGCGGATACGAAGCGTCGTCGACGTCGACGTCGACGGCGACGTCGACGCCGACGGGAGGAGATCGATAAAATTCCGTATCTCGCGGAAGAACCCGCCTCGTGCTCGCGGCTCTCGCTTCCGACGCCTCTTCCTTTTATTGCCCTCGTAACGGAGCGTTATCCGGCGATCGCAGACACCGGAACTCCGCTCGGTCGTTACGTTCTCACCCCTCGCGGTGGGGGGAACGCGTTCGCGACGTTGCTTTTCTTCTTCTTCTTCTTCTTTTTTCTCGCGTCGATGAGAAACTTCGATCGCGACCGCGAGAGATCGGGTTAGAGAGAAAGGAGAGCCGATAGGAGAGGAGCTACGCGGTTTTCCTCCCGCTCGCTCTCTCTCTCGCTTGCGACTTTACGAGCCGGAGGAGGAAAGCGACGCTCGCGGAAACGATCCTCTTCCGCCGCCGGATAGGATTTATACCCGCTGAGCGGCGGAATGATATCCGACGGAAAGGATTCTCGAGTAGCGGTCGTGATTCGGAAAACACAGAGTCCGCGTGGATTTTCCGACGCCCCGCTCGCGCGGTATCGTTGCGTCGGTTCCCCGCGGTTCCGGCGCGGCGGGGCGGGGGGAAATCGAGTTCTCCCGATGAAATGAAACGCGATAGAAAAGAACGACGGGAGAACGCTGCTCCCGCGATTCCTACCGACGACCAGCGACGCGGCTGTTCGTTGAAAAAGCCGAAACTGCACGGCCGTTTTTTTCATTCGCCGTTTCCGTCCGCCGCGCGTTCTCTTCCTCGTTCGCCACACGCGATTATCGATTGCGGTGTACGAAACGGCCTAATCGACGTCGTCGCCGCCGTGGAATTCTGATTTTTCAAATTTTCCAAGAGCGACGGAACGAAAGAGCGTCGCGGAAAGAGCTCGAGTTTTGCGGGACCGCGACGGAAAAATGCTAGAGGGCGAAAATCGAATCGGGCTTTTTCCGCGATATTTTCTATTCCCCGTTGTTCCATCGCGGAGCGATACATCGGGATCGCGTGTCGAATAGCGGGAAATTGATAGGGGCGAATCGGAAAACGAGGAAGCCGGTTTTCGAGCGATCTCGTTAAACGATTTAACGCGCCTCTCGCCGACACAATACTATCCGAGTCGCCTCCCGCTTTCCTTCCTATTACCGTTCTCATTACCGTCCCCATTGTTTTCGTTACTCTTATTATCGCGTCCCGCGCCGATTGGCCGACCGCTCTCCATTAATATCGCGGCCCCCGCCGCCCTCGACAACATCGTTAACATTAGCATTTTTATGATTATCAACGGTCGCGAGCGTTGGTATTTTCGCCGGTGCGTCGCCGAGACGCCGCGTTACGAATCGCGTTACCTTTTCAAAATGGAGCGCCGCTTTTCGCGACACCATGCCACACGTAATGACACCCCCGCAGCCTGCCCTCGCGTTCGTTCGACGGTCTCCGCGAAACCCGACCGCGCGCGCAATGGAACGCGAAATAAGGGAGCAGGGACACCCCGATCGAAAGTTTTCGTCGTTTTTTTACGGCGGGGTGACGCAATCTTCTGGACTCGCGAGAGCTTTTAGAATCGCCGTTTACTCGTGACAATCGTTCAAGCGAGTGCGCATTAAGGCCGAACACGCGCCAGGGTCTGAACAACGGCGTATTTTTTAATGCTAAGCTCGGTGATAAAGCCCTGGAATATTCTATAAAATATTACAACGTGATCTTGAGCGACTCCATGATTCGAAACGAGAAAGCCAACGGTCTCCCGCGTCGGCTCGGGGTCGAAATGAGATTCGTAACGTCGAGTACACCGAAAATGCAAAATTTATTTGCACAAGACACCGTGGCGCGGGCTAAAAACGTCGAAAGTTTCGCCCGACGCGTACAGCCGGCAATGTATCGATCTCTCGTCGTCGAGCAAAGTTCTCGTCGATTTAACGAGAGGCCCTCGACGATGAGCCGGTTTCCAAACAATACTAGCATCGTATATGCACCGTCGCAAAGTCCGAACGAGCCGCTTACGCTCGAAAGCAATCCCGCTTGTAGCGGAGCCGGAGTTGTCGGAACCTGAAACGCGCACACCCTCGCGGGAGAGAGCTCCTCCATGCATCCCCGAGCCAGGGCACTCGCCTCCGCCGCCATTATCGCGCGCCAGCTTTTTCGATCGCCTTCGCTCCTCGATCCGCAAAGCCTACGCTTTCATCCGCTCCCTCGACGACCGTCGAAACGAGCCGGAAACGTTGCTGCCGCGGCACCGCCGCGACTTGGCTTCTTTGATCGTCGCCCGTCGAATCTCGCGCCTCGCGACCCCGATTCCGGCGATTGCGTGTCGAACTGTTGCTTCCGACGACGGACGATCGATCCCGACCAACGTTTCCACCGGATGACGCCCTGTCAGCCCCGAGATTCCTTCGCGATTCTCGCCGGCCGCTCGCCGTACGAAAATCCGCTCGAAATTCAATTTTCTACCGGTGGATTCGCTTCGGCGCTTTCTCGGTAAGAAGACCCCGTCGGACTCCGCTCTCGTTCGAATCTTTCGGCGAGCTCCGTTTAGCAACGAAAATTCATGAAATATTCGACGAAGGATATTCGCGAACGTTACGCGGAAGACGCGTAAAGGATTTCCCGTTCCGATTTCAGAGGAGACTGTTTACCGGTTAAGAGAGCATTTTACTCATCCCGGCGATAAGCCAGGAGTACACGGAGCGTGCTGTAACGCAAAGGGTAGGTGCAACGAACGAGGCAAAGCTAGGAGAGCACACACAATTAACGCGTGCGCGCGTACACAGCGTCTTGAGCGCCGATAAAATTTCCTCGCGAGAGGAAATTTAACCAGGGCGTCGAATTAATTTTGAAAAATTAATTAGAAGTCGCGACAACCGATACGAACATTCGCTCGAAACGCTCGGTGATTCGAGTTCGACGACGATCAGGGGGAGTCGGATGGCAGTTTAAAAGCGTTTAAAAGAGGCTCGCTGGTGAAAGTGTTCTCCGCGCGATAGATGCGCGCACGGAACCGACGTAACTTTCCGGGCTGATGCATTTATGCATACCGAGCGCACGTGGCATCGTCTAATAACCGGGGCAATGCGTCGCTAAACCGTGCGGAACCATGGCCGGGGGGCTCGCAGGCATCGCGAGCCCCTAATGTTGCGGCACCGTAATTCTTTTTTAATTAAAACCCCGAGCCTCCGGTTCTTACCGGCTTAGATCGTCCAATCTGCTTCTACCGGGCCGCTATTACGATTATTTGTGGGCCCATTCGCGAGAGTTCGCTTCCACTTTATCGACTCCGACCGAAAGAAAGGCAGAGCGAGGCTTGAAAAATTGTGCAGAACGCGCAGCGAATCGTGCATTTCGAAAGACGCGTCTCGACCGCGCGAAAGGATCGACGTTCGACGCGTTTTTTCAAAAGCACTCGTCATCGTCTAAGCGCGTGTTTCGCCGCTAATGTGTATGGTTTCGTAACGAGATTGGAAGCAGTCGCGAGATTTCTATCGCGACTTGTGATTTCGGTGAAAGGGAGAATCGGAAATCGGCGCGTAACGGCGACGGCAGCGGAAAATGATTTCGGACACCCAGTACGTCGAACGAAATCGCGCCTCTGCGAAACTACCCCTAGCTCCCGTTTATTTTTAGACGGCCGGGGGAAAGAAAGGGGAGCCACCCACGAGCGGCCAACTATCGCAAAGTCGCATAAAAATATATTGGTAGTTTCCATAAGTGCGGCGTCGCGTCTAGCGGTTATAGGAGGCATAGCCGGCTTTGGTATTTATAGCCGACACGACGGCGTGCTTTGTTTCGCCGCTGGTCGGACGATCGCGGATACCGATAGGGCCGACTCGGCCAACGTATTTCTTACCCATCGGTGGTTTACTCCTCGGCGACAGATATTTCTAGGTAATGCGAATGTAAAGTTCAATTGCCGTGGTCCGGATCTCGAACGGCGTCGAGATGACGAAGGGGCGCCCCGTCGAAGGCGAAGGTGCGTAATTGGATTTGCCCTTGCTCGTCGAATCGTATCCGTTTTCTGCCGATTTTTTCGTATTAATAGAATCATCGATCGGATGCCCGCCCCGTCGGTCTCTTCGACGTTGGGGCCGGGCCAGATCGGCAGGGTGAAAAGCGGAAACGCGTAAAGGTCGATCGCGTCGGGAAGTTCTTTCCACTCGGGATCGTCGTTATGCACTCTCGATATTTTTAGACCGGTTCGCTAAACTCGTCGTCGGTTTTTAGCGTCTCGCGTCGTATCGTCCCGGGGACACCCGGTACAGTTACCATGGATCGGAACAGCCATCGGTTCGGCATCGATTTTATTCTCCTATTCAAAA